ATTACCTGCTTTCCTTCTACAAGAGGAACCATCAAGTGTAATGGCTATGCAAGTCAACGAATCAGCACCAACATCCCGGCCGAAGTGTATAGGAACGGGACTATTAACTCGCATTGCTTTGTGCTCCTCGCATCGTTTTCTCCCTAAAACGGGCACTCTTGTACATAGAGAACCATCATCTAAGGTGACCCCACAAGTAAGGTGAAGGATGTTCTCGGTGTTAGTAAGCGAACAAGGTCTTACACATGCGTTAACTTTCATCCCTTTGTGATCAGCACATCTCTTTCTTCCATCAACCGGAGGCCTGGTGCATATAGATCCATGACCCAAGGCCACACCGCATGTATTGCCATCATTGTTATTTGTATCGCACTCTTTTGATACTAATGTAGGGCGTGTTCGGCTGAATTTGAAGACGCTCGGGAGGAAATTTGTGCCCGTTTGCTTGGTATAGAAGCTAGACCCGTTATCCAATACATTTGAGTCGCAGCGTTTGATACTAACACCGACCTTCTTTGGTTGGAGAACATGAAATTTCTTGAACAACAGAGGTACCCTTTTAGCACTTGAAGCAGCGGCATTGAGCTTTTGATGTATGTCACCAGGGCGACGCTCCCCGTTCATCCCTCTGTTCCATGCGTAATCAAAGGTTTTCAAAAGCTCAGATTCGGTTTTCTTGGCATCCTTCTTAGTGTTCATCTGTAAAAATCAAAGCACACATGAAATTTCTTATATGGTCATGTAATGTGTTTAAATATTGAGCCAAGAAAGACGGATAGAGGAGTCTTTCAAATTAGAGTTTTGAGCAGTTATGAAACATACGATGTCCTTGAATTCAAATGAGCCATTTGAGCAGCTTGCTAGTCTTAAACCTTTGTGGACGATTAACGAGAGGAAGGTTCTGTTAGGAACCCACAACTGATTAGGAACAAGGAAACATCCCATAGCGCACCCCTCTTCCTGATGAATATTCTTCATGCACATTCACGATATTCATCATGAATGTGCCATTCTGATGAATATGTTACATTTTCATTATGAATAACACGTCCATATTCCTGATGAGTATCCCATATGTCGCACTTTGAGCGGGTTAATTGTAACACCTAGTTCCTTTCTAACTATTTTACTTTAGTTATATGTACTTGCTTGTAAAAAAAAAAGGGGAAGAAAGGGGGGGGGGGTTACCCTGCACTCGAATCCTATCAGTAGACTCATGTGGGTAGGATGTCCTTCTCTGCCTGAGAGTCTTTACCTACCATACCTTATTGTTTGTTTAGGGGGGGAAAAGAGGAGTTGCATGGGGAAAAGGGAGTCCTCTCCACTCGGTTTTTGAGAATAGAAAAGGAGAAGAGAAGAAGAAAGACCTTCGGTTCAAAAGTGAAGGGGGAGGGTTTTAAGCATCCCTTCTTGAAAATCTCAGACCGCCGGAAGCAAGCTGTCTGTTCCCTTCGCCAACCAACAGCAGTGAGTGGTGGGTGTTGTGTGCCTTCTCGATACAGCGGCAAACAGCTTACCGTGTGTGCTGTCCTCCTCCGGCTTCTTTGCCAAACCTGCAGCAGCAACAGCCGGAAGCAAGCTGTCCGTTTTCCCTTCGACCAGCAACAACAGCAGCAGCAGCCGGGACTGTTTATCGACTAGCAACCGTAGCAACAGCAACTGCTGCGTCTCCCTCTGTTTTACCTCGGCCAAACAGCACCATTGCTGTGTGTTTTTCTTGTTTCTGCACGCCAAGCCCAGCAACAGCAGGCGTTGCCGTGTCATTTTGGGCAGCAACAGCACTGCCGTGCCTTTCGTTCTCCTCGCGCACAGCAAACAACAGGCTTTGCCGTGCCGTTTTGGACAGCAGCAGCTAGTGACAGCAGCAGGCAGCAACAGCTGCGTTTTCTTCGTTCGGTCCGCCAGCAACCGACAGCAAAACAGCAGCAAGAGCTGCTGTCTTCCGCGCTCGTTACCGACAGCAAAATCAGCAGCAAGAACAGCCAGCAGCTTTGCTGCGCTTCTCGGCAGCCGCAGCAGGCGCTACCTGTTAGTTCTAAGATTTGAGATTTTTCCTAAATCCCGCCACGTGAGTTCATACTAACCTTTTAGAAGTTTTGATACCATTCCTTTGATTTTCTTCATTAATGGCTATTTTAGTGAAATTCTTGAGTATTGATCTTGTAATCAATAATATAAACATGGTTAGATGGTATTTTGATTGTTGGAATAAAGATTGAATCCAAAATATGGATTTTAGCCTATTTAGTTGGTGAATTCGACAGCACCAAATCTACCCGAGACGCTGTTTTGAATGTGCGATAACTTCTTGACCGTAGATCGGATTGCTACGATTCTGGACATTTTAGAAAGCTTATATGTAGATCTAAACCTGTCCTTTAGACACTTTTTAGAAATAAGAATTCTAGGTTGGTTATATTTGC